CCCCCCCCCCAACCGGGGATTGAACTCAGGCCCTTGAGCTTGCCAGGGAAGCGCTTATTCCACTGAGCCATCTCCCTGGCCCCTTGCTACAGTTTGGACTCATAGTGATCCTCCTGTCTCAGCCTCCCCAGTGCTAGGATTACAGGCATGCGCCACCATGCCTGGTTTAGGGACTGGCATGGTGTATGGTACTGGGCATTGAACTCAGGTCCTTGCACTTGCCAGGCAGGCACTTCAACTGCTGAGCTATGTCCCCAGCCATTCTCCGTATCTTTATATCATCAGTTTTCTTCATTTTTGTATTTTCATGCCACTCTTAACCATAGTTCAAGTCATTGTCACCTTAGGCTTTATCTGTAGTCATACTACAGATAAAGTGAAATACTGTTCACTATTAGTCACTTTCCATACAGTGCAACTGATCATGTTCTGTCTCTGAAAGTCGGGAGTAGCTTGCCAGGTATTGTCTTAGATTACAATTCTTTTTTTTTTTTTGGGCAGAACTGGGTATTGAACTCAGGCCTTGTGCTTGCCAGGAAAGCACTTATTCCACTGAGCCACCTCCCCAGCCCCCTAGGTTACAATTCTTCACCTTAAATGGTGTTGCCAAAAAACTTTTTTTTTTTGTGTGTGGTACTGGGGATTGAACTCAGGACCCTGCGTTTGCCAGGTAAGCACTTATTCTACTGAGCTATCTCCCCAGGCCCAAATGGCAGAAGGATTTTTTTTTTGGACCTGGCTCCGAATGCCTTCAGGGCAGGTTTGGCTGGCTTGAGTTGTGGGGATCAAACCACAGCAACCTGAGCCTGACTGCTTTGTTGAAGCAGCCACTTAAAGAACTGAGCTAAGGGACAGGCCCCTACTTCACCTTAAATGGGTGCTCAATAAGTACTTGTTAACAAGTGAATTTCATTTAACACTGAATCATTATATCTGTTGGGAGGACAGTACCAGCTGGGGTAAAAATAGAAGTCCTAATTGTTCATTTCATGAATGATTCCTAGGCATTTTTCACAGGAACAGTTGTATTTAAAGTAGTGTCAAGAACATAATGATTTTGATTATTTATATTCTGCTGATTCATTCCCTGGTTTCAATTAAATGGGACAGTAAGTGATGTATTCATAGTCTCTCTGTCTCTGTCTTTCTCTCTCTCTGACTCTGTCTCTCTGGTTTCTGTCTCTTTCTCTTCTATCTCATTAATCCAGCATTCTCAGCATTACCTCATCATTGTCAGTGGTTTACCTACTCACAGTGGTAGTTTGAAAGTCAGGAACGTGCTTTTCAGAATCTTGGGTATGGATAATTTGAGAAAGGCCCCTCCCTCCTGTCTCCCCCCCTCCCTCCCCCATTGAGCTGCCCTTTCTCGTCTGTTGACTTCAGTAGGTTTTCTTCATTGTTAAACTTAAGATTTTGGTAAAATGATTCCGTGAGCTAAAAGTAAACATAGTATATAGAAATTAAGAAGTGCAGTAGAGGCCTTCCTCACTAGTTGGGTAGGTAGGTTATTAATTGAAAAGTTGATTGAAGCTAGGAATCTTTTAAAAAATGTTACATATGTGCTTTAACATTGTATTTAACTTCAAATGGAGAAGTGCACACTTATTCTTCAGTCTTACTAATTTTGGACAAAACATTTTCAGGATATGGTTTCCTTTAGTGAAGTTTCATCTTTCTTATATATACCAGATCTGTACATCATCCTTTGTGAATTCTGGTTTTAACTTCTTTATTTACTCATTTGAACATTTTTATTAGTATCTGTTTGTAATACATAATATATTCATTGTAAAATACTAAAAATATTGAATCTTGATCCTTTTTACCTTCCCCTTCCCTTTCTCCTTCCCCCTTCCCTTCATTAAAATAAAGTGGGTTTTTTTTTGGAGAAAGAGTTGAAGCAGGTTTTTTACTGTATTACAGGCTGGACTTCAACTCATGGTGATCCTCCTGCCTCAGCCTCCCATGTGCTAGGATTATAGGCATGTGCCACCATGCTTAACTAAGAAAGTGGTTTTATAAGTATACAGCTAGCTCAGTGTAGCATAATGTAAAATGTAGGACATGTGGTCATAATTACTATAAGTGTGTTAAGCATCATCTCATATATATATATATATATATATGCATGCCTATATATAGTTACAAAATATTTTTGCCTCATTTTGCAAATGAGGAAGTTGACTCAGAGTCTAAATAAGAAGATGACATAGTAGGCTGAGGTTTGATATAGGTGTCTGATTCTAACATGTATAACAGTGTATAGTACTGATAAAGTCATTTTTTAAGAAATGTTACTTGTTTTTGGGTTATGTGTCTTTATTGTTTTTATTTTAAAGAGAAAAAAAAACAGTAAAAACAGAATCTCAAAGGAAGATGATAGGAAATTAACAAGGATTATTATATTGCGTATTGTTATCTTCAAAGAAGTTGCTCAGATTGCCAGGTACAGGAATGTAAAATTTATATAAAAAACATAAGCATTAACTATACCTTTCAGTGAACTAGTGGAAATCAGTAGTACAGTTACCTTAGCTATCTTGTGTATATGTACATATCTTTTTTTCCCCATTTTCTTTTTTCCTCCTCTTTTTGTAGATGAAGAAAATAGTTTACATGTGGTGGTGAATTGTGGAGAAGCATTACTGAAGAATAACACTTACTGGCCTCTTGTTAGTGATTTTATTAATATTCTTTCTCATCAAAGTGTGGCTAAGAGATTTTTGGAGGACCATGGTTTGTTGGTTACATGGATGAATTTTGTGTCTTTCTTTCAAGGTAGGAATTTAATCTGTTCTTGTTTAGCTCACAGCATGTCTAATGTTAAATTACTAAATACTAAGTAAAAGGTAACGTCATTCAAGTTACACATAACTTTCTTTACGCTTTGGGGCTGGGGAGATGGCTCAGTAGAATAAGCGCTTGCCTGGCAAGCGCAAGGGCCTGAGTTCAATCTCCGGTTCCGCCAAAAAAAAAAAAAAAAAAAAAAGAAGAAGGGAACTGAAGTCAGGCATGGTGGTGGCACAAACCTGCAATCCCAGCACTCTGCGAGGCCAGGGTAGCAGGATGGCAAATTCGAGCCCAGCCGTGGCAACTTAATGAGACCCCCGGGGGTTAGCAGAGGATCCCTTCAGTGCACAGGCCCTGGGTCAGTCCCTAGCACAAGGGGAATAAAGAATGGAGAAAAAAAGGAAAAAAATTGCAAAAAATTTCTTCAAACTTTAATAGTTATTTGTGAGAACTTTCATAAGTTGTTTGTAAAAACATAGAGCATTAGGAAAAATGCCAAATTATTGTAAAGGAAATAATGTAATTTTTTCAGCCCCTTAAACCATTAAGCTAGATATGTGGGGTGAGGGATGTAGCTCTGTGGCACATTGCCTGCCTGACAAGTGTGAGACCCTGAGTTCAATTCTTGTCACAAAAAAAGAAAAAAATCTGGACATGAAATCTGTTTTACAAGAAAGATTTATACTGCTTTAATAGAAATTTCAAAGGACCAGCGAGGTAGTTCAGTGGACTAAGTGCTTGCTTTGGCAAGTGCAGGAACCAAGGTTTGATCCCTGGTCCTGAATGCTGCGCCACCCCTGCCGTTGGGGTGCCCTGAGCCAGGAAACAAGATGTGGCACAGTGATGCACGCCTGTAATCCCAGTGCTGGGGAGGCTGAAAACAGGAGGATCACTGTGAGTCCAAGCTGCATAGTGAGACCCTGTACCAAATATACATGAAAGAAAAAAAAAAATTCAACTAACACAAGTTAATTTTATTTTGACTTTCTTGTATATATTGTTATGGTATATGAGACATTCATATGTTTTTCTAAAATAACCTAAGTTTTGAAGTATTCTAAAAGGACTAGATTGTATTGCATTTTTATTATTTTTAGACATGCTATATTGTTTATACTCTTGTATGCATAAAAATGTGTTGGGTACTGGGAAATGTTTTCCTGAACTTTTGCTACTGTTTGACAAGGTCTATATGTGCTCTAATTTTTGCAAGGTATGAACTTAAACAAGCGAGAGCTAAATGAACACGTGGAGTTTGAGTCTCAGACATACTATGCTGCCTTTGCAGCTGAACTCGAGGCCTGTGCTCAGCCAATGTGGGGACTCTTATCACACTGTAAAGTCAGGGTACGTTGAAAATCATTTTGTTAATTTCTATATTTACTTTTAAAATACTTAAAGTTTAGACTACATTAGTGTGTTTACTTTTATATAGTCTTCAGTGTTTAATTCTGTTTCATACTGAATTCAGCTTGCGGGGAGCTGGCTTGAGAGTTTATACTTAGGCAGGTTGAAATTTATATTGTTAGATTTCTCAGCCAGCACCTATTTCAAGTAGTCTGTGGAGCTTCATAATTCTCCACATTCCTCTTGATATTTTTATTTTTTTCTATATTTAGGACAGGCTCTACAGGGTCCACAGGGTCTCACTACATAGACAGACTTGTAGTGATTCTCCTGTTTTCAGCTTCCCAAGCGCTGAGATTACAGGTGCATGCCACCACGTCTAGTCTCAGTTGCCATCTCAGCGCGCCCTGCAGTGGGGCCTGCACAGCACTCTGGGGATCGAACCCTGGCTGCTGCGCTCTGCTTAAGCATGTGCTTTAGCCTGCTGAGCTATCTGGCTGGCCTTTGATAATTTTATTTTACCCCTTACCATTTACCTAATGCTTATCTGTCAGAAAAGAAGGATAGTCCTCAATGAAGTTTATAATTTTAAGAATCCAAACAAAAAATAAATCTCACACAGCTTTCTGTCTCTCTCTCTGTCACACACTCACTCTGTCTGTCTGTCTGTCTGTCTGTCTGTCTGTCTGTCTGTCTGGTTTGATGAGTCCTTGGAAAATTCACAAAAATTGAATGTCCTAACCATGTAAACTAAGGA